TCCAAAATAGACATAGTTTCTATATTAGATTTAACCAATGAGTCCAATTGTCTGTTTGATCACTATATAATCCAACCGGGAGTACGATCTGTGCTCCAGAGGGAAGGTATAATCTCTTTCTCTAGGATGTTTCACCCTCCATATATCCATTAACTGACTTTGATGTAACCTGTTTTTCAACATTTTTAGTTTTCTACTTCCTCCTCTCTGTGCATTCGATGACGTATGCATCCCTGGGTCAAGACAGAAATTAAAGTCTCCTGCTAAGACCAATGATCCCCTCTTAAATTCCATAATTGTTCCCAACACTCCATACAGAAATACTTCTGGGTTTTGATTCAGGCCATAGATATTAAAGATATAGGTTTGTCCCCATATTTTGCCTCTTTAGTATAGGTACTGTGGCCCTCTGGGTCCACCAATCTCTCCTCCACAACAAAACCCACATTTTTTGAGAACCCGATTGCTACTCCTTTAGCTCTTTATTGATGAGTCCGCATAATACCATGTTGGGTAATATCTTGAGTGTAGTTTAATATTAGAGTCATGTGTTAAATGTGTCTCTTGTAAAAAAAAAAAATAAAAAAATTTGCAGAGAGTTGAAGAACTTCTCTAAGTAGTTTGTCTTTTTAGTAGGAGAGTTTAACCCTTTCACGTTTATAGGTCATAAACTTATTCAAACTCATAGCTATCTAGTATTCTCTTTCTTGTTCGGAAGAAAACGGTATAGGGTATAGACTATCTCCCCGCCCCCCTTCCATCCCACCGCTCCCCCTCTCTTCTCCTCTCCCTCGACATAGACAGAATGGGGAGACACAAACAGCAGGATCAACCAGGTTTCTGGCAGAATACAGAAAACAAATCCCATAGAGACTATCAACAGCATGTAATGCAGCATTTATTGATAGTTTTTAATGATGTGGGTTTAATTACAGTTTAAACATTCTCTGCATTAAGATAAATAAAAAACCTTCCATAATCGGCTCCCCCCAGCACCCCCAAATACCTGAGCTTGATCTTGATTGAATGCTGTGCCCAAGAGCAGCAGCTCTCGCTCTTTCTTTCCCCTTCATGGGCTGCTGTCAATCAAACCCTGTGAGGAGGGGGCAGGGGCTGAGTGACTGTGTGTGTGTATAGATGCACACAGCCCGGCCCAACAAGCTTGCAATGGGGTGGTGGGGGGGACTCTTGGAAGGCAGGAAATGCTGAGAGCACCAGCAGGGGACCCCAGAAGAGGTTCGGGCTTGCTCTGTGCAAAACCATTGCACAGAGCAGATAAGTATAACATTTTTATTATTTTAAGAAAAAAAAAAAAAACCTTTACAAGCACTTTAATCTGTTGCTGTTGTTTTTGGCTGAAGTAATTGTTATGTAATTCAAATACATATTAAATGCTAGTTATACATTTTGAATTGTAGTCATACTCTTTTATAGTTCACCACACACAGAATATACTCCCTCTTGCCTGCTCAGGGAATTTGTATTACTAATCAAGTTTCTAAGAACTTTGTTTTGTGATTGAACTTGATTTCCTCTCTTGTCCTGTGTCAGCATTTCCCCGTGTTCCTCCCATCCAGTTTGTGATTCCTGATCTTTTCCACAGCTTCATAGCTTTCCATTTCCCCTATTAGGCTTTGGTGTTTCCTCTTTTAATGTGATTGCAGAACACATGATAGGAAAACAGCCTGAAGTTCGTTTCTGCTGTTAACTTTTATGTTTAGGCTTTTCTTTTAAATGTTCATATTGTGAGCAAAGGCATAGTATTAATTCTTATGTTTCAAATTGTTATCTTGGCTTCCTTAACAAAAAAAAAAAAAAAAAAAAATCCTATTTACCAATCGTTTGTTTTTTAACCACATTTTCACCTATTTAAACATTTGAACAAAATGGCAGCAACTGTAATAGAGCATGTCAATGCACACAATTTCCATATAAAGATTGGAGAGCTCTTTTAATTTGGGCCCCTGTAATTCAGTCGCAATATCTCCCCACTCTTGTGTACAACCATGAGAGGTTTTGCTGCTACTTATACCACCAAGGTTCGTAATAGCAGTTAGCTGTAATTTATGCATAGTGTTATGTGCACAAACTCTCCTACCTACTAACCTTATTGCTGCACTTTCATTACCGTTGCAACATTTGTAGATTTAGCTAGTAATACCGTGCAAAACACTGATTTGCAGTGCACAACTTATTCTAACAGAGTTCTACCTGTTAGTATCGATCCAAAAAGAGAAATGATTATTGCTCACTGTTGCTTACTGCAATTTGCACATTTTCTTTGCCCTTTTAATTAAGCCAGTTTACCTTTCAAGAGATTGTGTCCCAAGTACATTTTCATTTGCGTGATAATCCCCAAAGCCTATTGAGTCAGAGTCCTTCCTGCTGCTTAGTGCTTGCCAACGGAAGCCAACACTAAAGTGGGTACTTTTTTCAGGTGGCTGTCCATCACAATAGATATATCACTTACCCTGGTAATGCTACACACTTAAGAAAAGCCTATCATGAGAGAAGCTCAGCAGCTGTCAAGCCTGGTCTTGTGAATATTTTAGTTTTATTTGCTTTTCTAATGATCTTTTAGGTTCATTATTTTCTGTACTTCACTGAACTAGAACAAGCATTCAACAGTTATAGGACTTTGTCACTTTGTCCCAGGTCAGTGTCTAGGAAAGTATTTCAGGGTGACAGCAAGACAGTTAGCGTTTTTGGAAGTGTCACCAATGTTTGCATATTGCTTTTAGCAAATGTTTCTTTTAAGCCAGGCCTGACTACTGTGAAAAAAATCTCCTTTAGGATAGAAGTTGGACTTTAATTTCCTATGTGACTAGTCGGTCTAGACTAGAAGAAAGCATGGTAATGCGCTTGCTCTGTGTTCGTAACTGAGAATGTATTAAAGCTAAAACTAGCAGTTCAGAAGGGATTGCAATAGCAGCCTACATATTTCTGAGACCAGGATTTGCTTTAAAGATACCTGTTATTTAGAACTACATTTAAAGTGATACTAAAGTCTTGTGGTTTTTTTTTTTTTAATAACAAACATGTAATACTTACCTGCTCTGTGGTTTTGCACAGAGCAACCCAGATGCACCTCTTCTTGGATCCCCCGCTGATGCTCCTGGCCCCTCCCTCCTGTTGGATGCCCCCACAGCAAGCAGCTAGGTATGGGGCAACCGAGCAGGCACGCTCCCTAGCTGCGGCTCTGCGTGTCCACACACAAGCCGTGGCTCAGACCCGCTCCCTCCCTCTCTTGATTGGCTCAGTGGCTGTAATTTACAGCCAGTGACTCCTTCTACTGCCTCAGCCAATAAGGAGTGAGAGTCCATGGAAACAGAGGCTCTCCTGGACATCGCTTGATCAGGATGGGGCTCAGGTAAGTGTTAGGGGGGCTGGGGGGGGGGCTGCTACACACAAGGTTTTTTACCTTCATGCATAGAATGCATGAAGGTAATAAAACCTTGAGCCTTTAGAACCACTTTAATTTGTGAAATGTGTTAAATATCTTCTGGCTAGTAAGATGAGCTTAATTGATATGGTCCTTAAAGACTCATTGAGTTGCTTTGCTCTACTATGTCATTAAATTAGGCCAGTTGTGTGCAGCAACCTAAAATATCTAATTAGAGCTAGAAAAGCTACAATTTCTGGGGAAATTGTGTGAAGTGTTCTTGCCTCCACCAGTAGTCTACAACTGGGTGGAGTGGCTTGTCACTCTGCTGCCTGCTCACACACCTGGGTTCCTATGGCAACTCGCTCTACAGCAAGGGCAGAGAAGAGCGGTTAAAAACAAACTGCTCCAACTTGCTCACTTCACTGGCGGTTGCCATTTTCAAATGGTTGTAGTTTAAAAATTATAAATCCTACACCAAAGAGCTTTATATTGTGGGAATCACAAGACCCAGACCTACATTTTGATGCATAGTATGTCTCTGCAATGTCAAAAATTAAGGCACAGTCGCAGTTTAGAGATTGCCCTTCAAATTTGAGGTGGCTAGAGTGGAGTTTCAATGAATGTCAATGGGCGGCGTGAGTTGCAAACAAATGGTCATATTGTGAAAACTATCAGGACTATGGCTTAGCCGTGGGCATTGTTAGTGGCAGCAGGGATAGCTGAATGTTCTGATATAAGATTTGTGTAGGTGGGCTTGAAAATGAGGGAGTGATGGCAGTTTAGAAATCATGTCCTGATTTTTCAGCTCACACTCTAGCTTTTGTCAGCTCCCACTCTAGTTTTGAACATTCCGCCATTCATTCCTATGGGACCAATTTCACCACAAATACTGCGATATTTCGTGAACCATTCAGTGAAACGTTCCTCAAAGTAATAGCACACCAATCGGGAACAATCCGCACGTTTAGATTTATTACTATGTAGTGTAAAAACTGTGGGAGGAGTTAGGGTGGTAAATTTAGCTATAATAATTAGAATATATTTGTGAGATAACAGTAAGTGGTCTTGCCATGCAAGAACGCTTAATGAATCATTCTAAAGTTAGCAGTAGTAGGTCTGATTTCCTCAACACCATTGCTCTCATCAGTCCTTTAACAACTAATGAAAATAATGAATTTCATCCATATACAGAAATTTCAGCTTTTTATGAAATGTAAACCAATGTATAGTTAATTCTTATCTGAGCATTTGCCAAGTGAAGAAAACTTGAGCAGTTTACAATCAAATAAGATAATACAATTTACACCTGTCTGGTTGCTGTGGACATTATTCTTATTTTATTGGTGCCAATTTTTTAAACAGATCTTGTGTATTGTATTCTGACGACTTTCTAGATTTACATATGTAATACTTCCAGTAAGATGGCCTTTTCTATATGGTTCCTTTTGGCTTCCTTCTGTGCAACTTCCCAAGCTATTCTGCTGGTGGTTAACACTGTAGTATTATGTTCTACTAATTGTTTGCATTAACTTCTAGAAATAGCACTTATAAATGTAACTTTTAATAATACATCTTGATATATTGTGTTTTTGTTTTTTTTTTTAATTTAATTTAGGCGTTGGTTTTCAATACAAAATAATCAACTAGTATATCAAAAGAAGTTTAAGGTGAGTTATGGAACATTTTCATCATGTATTCCTTTTCCTTCCGTATTTTTTTTTTTTAGACATGCTGGGGACAATTCGCTAATGTTTATTGCATGCGCTATTTAAAATGCCAATTCGCAAAAAAAAATGTAATGATCTCATGGTCTAGCCATTTGGTATTTAACAAATGTACAAAATTAAACGTGAAACATTTAGCAGCTGTATTACTACCACTGCAGAAATATGACCGTTCCCTCTCGGGGCTACTGGTTGTTAGGAAAACCATGACTGGGGATTCTGAAATGGCAGATGAAGGTAAACAAAAGGGGTGTAAAAATGTGTAACAAAAGGGCCCTCAGACCCTAACAACCAAAATGCCAAGGTTGTGGAGAATAGGCCTTGTTTACATTACATTTCTTGCCCCTTTGTTTACATTTACCTGTCAGCCGGGATACTCCAGCCAGCAGACGGAGACGAGGGGTGCTGCGGTTGTACAGAGAGGGGCAGGATCTGTAGGAGGAGTTCCGGTATCCTCTTTGCTGCCGACTGCTGAAATGGGGGGGGGTGGGGGGGGGGGGCAGAGATGAGACTGTCTGCTGCTGCACAAAAAAGAGCAGGATCTGGCGAGGTGTTCTAGCCTCCTCTCTGCTGAGTCAAGGTGGTGGTGGAGAAGAGTGGAGTGCCACAGTTGCAGGAGAGATGTGGGTGCCACATGAAATAGCCTGGCGGGCCAGGTTCGGCCCACGGGCCTTATGTTTGACTTTTCGATTTGTAGGATGGATTCTCTAGTATTTTTTCCAATTAGTATGCAGTGTTTTAATTTTTTTTTAATTATTATTATTTTGAGCATCATTTATAATGTATCATAAAATTTGATATAGTGCACCTGAGAGAAAAGAACTTCCGAGTGACACAGCGACAAGCTTCTAAGATTAACCACTTGCCCTCCAGAGGCTTTACCCCCCTTCCTGACAAGGACATGTTTTGCGTTACAGCGCTGCGCTACTTTGACGATTCCTGACGTCCTTTTTTTTTGCCCACGAATTGAGCTTTCTTTCAGTGGTATTTGATATCCTGTGCATTTGTATTTTTTGCACTATAAAAAAAAAAACAGACAATTTTGAGAGAAAATTATTTTTGAATTTTCGCTATTAACCACTTGGTAACCGCGCTATAGCCAAATGACAGTTGCAGCGTGGTTACCCAGTTCTGGGAGGGCGTTATATGATGTCCTCCCAGAACTCGCTCTCCTGCGTGCCCCCACGGGCACGCACCAGATGATCTCCATGACCGCTGTTCACGTGTTGTTGAGGTAAAAGGCCAATCACAGCGGCCTTTTACCACGTGATCAGCTGTGTCCAATGACACAGCAGATCACGGAGTAAATACAGTTGCCGGTTATTAGTAGCTCTTTCTTCACGCTGTCACAGCATGAGGAAAGTACTGCCGACAACCTTCAGCTGTCACAGAGGAAATCGGCACTGATGATCAGTGCCATCCACCAGTGCCCCCAGCAGTGCCATCCATCAGTGAGTGCTGCCAGTGAGGGCTATCAGTCAGTGTTGTCAGTCAGCGTCGCCCATCAGTGCCGCCTATCAGTGCAGCATCATCAGTGCCTGCTCATCAATGCCCACCAGTGCCACCTCATCAGTGCTGCCTATCTATGCAGCCTCATCAACGCACATCAGTGAAGGAGAAAAATTACCTGTTTGCAAAATTTTAGAATAGAAAAAAAGAAACTTTTTTCCCCATTTTTTTTTTTTTTGTTTATAGCGCAAAAAATAAAACACCCAACGGCGATTACATACCACCAAAAGAAAGTTCTATTTGTGTAAAAAAAATTATAAAAATTTCCTATGGGTACAATGTTACATGACCGCGCAATTGTCATTCAAAATGTGACAGCGCTGAAAGCTGAAAATTGGCCTGGGCACGGAGGGGCCCATTAGGCAAATGGTTAAATATGTCCAGTAAATTTTTTTAAAAAAATCTAATTTCGTCATACATTTAGGCCAAAATGTGTTCTGCTACATGTCTTCCCTAAAAATTCCAATAAGTGCAAATTCATTGATTTATGTGAGTTATAGCATTTACTGGGATTTTTTTTTATTTTTAATTTTTACTGGTAGACTTGTAGTGGGACTATGGCGAGCATTCTGACACTGGGGGGGAACTGACTTGGTGTCACTGGGGATGTGATACAGTGATCAGTGCGAAAAAAAAAAAAAAGCCCCGACATTGTACTAATGGTAAGGTGTTAAAATGAGGGGCGATCAAAGGGTTAACTGTGTGTTGTTTTACTATGTGCTGTGTCTGTGTGCTTCCCTGTAAGCACACTGCTTTGCATGGCTGTGCTGTGCACAGGCCATCCAAAGCAGTGTGCATGAGCTGACAGGGGAGAACTGTTTTGTTTACAAACAGTTCTCCATGACGGAGATGCTCGACAATCACTGGGCGCCGGTGAGTAATCACTGGCTGTGCCCCCTACCTGGAAATGCAAAATCCACTTATAGACACGTGATGTTGCACACCCGTGCCACCCTGTAGCAGTATTTCTGCTATAGGGCGGTCGAAAAGCGGTTAAATAGTAATCATGTAGAGTTTGTTTTGCACTACCATTGAGTTAAACAACCCCCAAGTTGTTACAGTTGGTGGAGGAATGCTGTAGACGGAGAAATTCTAGATTCTCGCATGCCCAAAACAGTGAGTTTACTCCACTCCAGAAGTGTCTTCTTCAAGACTTTTGTGCCCACTTTTATTTAAATGGCCAAGAAAAGTTCAGCAAAAGGCACACAGGGGTTTCCACCATCGATACCAAAAAGAACAATATTCAGCCTCCTAGCTGCCTTTGCAGCACTACAGCTGAGGCCTCGTGCCTTAGTCGTCCAGACCATCTAACACAGATCCCAGTGCTCATGCCTCAGAAGCTGTACCTCTGTCAGCTTTTGTGTCTTTCATGCAGCTCCCTGCTGCTCCATCTCTCACAGGCTTGGGCCTTGGTCAATCCTGCCCAATACAGCGCAGAAATGCACCTCTCTCTGCTCCCTTGCAGCACACACGGTCTCCCAGGAGGAGGGTGGAGCGCTGAACTCTAATCCGGTCTCCTAAAAATCCAGCGTACACACCTGTACCCATTAGTGTGCCTGTTTTCTGCAAATCCTGGCCTAGACTACCATTTTATACATGGTTTCTGTCTCACAGACCTACTTTGATCAGCCATAACATTATGGAGACCCACCTAATATTGAGTAGGTCCCCCTTTTGGTGCCAAAACAGCCCTGATATGTCTTGGCATGAACACCACTAGACCTTCGAAGGTATGCTGTGGTATCTGGCACCAAGCTATCAGTAGTAGATCTTTTAAGTACTGTAACTTGTGAGTTGGGGCCTCCATGGATTGGACTTGTTTTTCCAGCACATCCCACAGATGCTTGATTGGATTGAGATCTGGAGAATTTGGAGGCCAAGTCAACACCTCAAACTAGTTGTCGTGTTCCTTAACCTCCCTGGCGGTATTCCCGAGTGTAGCTCGGGGTAACATTTCAGTACCAAAAGCGGTAACCCCGAGCTACACTCGGGAATACCATGCGGCACTGCTCCGGCATGTGTTTTTTCACTTACCTTACCCTGTGCTCCCACGATGTGTCCCCTGCAGCGTCCCCGGCCATCTCCTCCGGCCGATGCTGGCATCCGGCTTCTGTGTCCTGTCCCTGTGACGTCGGGACGTACGGGCGCCGCCGCCGCAGGCGGCGGGAAATTTAAAAATTTTAAAAAATGTCATTTTTTTTTTTACATTTTACATAGTAAAACATTGCTGTCTCAACCAATTTCACATACATATTGTCCCTAGCGCTTTGTCCTGCGCCCTGCCTGCATTTTGTCTGTTCTTTCTGCCTGGAAACTGAGAAATGTCCATGGCGTCCAAAAAGTGTCCCTTTAGGTCAAAAGCAGTTTAGATCAGCTAGAGAACAGCGATAGTAAATCAGAACCACTTGCAGAATTGAGTGATAATGATTCGTGGGGGAAATTCGTCATCAGACACTGAAAACGATTTTGCGACTGAGCTCAGCAATGTGCGAACTTGGCGCTATATTTCACATTTCAGTGTTTTTGGTTTGATTATATTATTGAATTAAATTTTTTATTATTTTTATATTATTTTTATGATTATTTATTAAATTATAATTTATGATTTTGTGTTTCAAATTTTATCATACCCGGGATGTTTACTAGACTCTTGTTCGGACAGATTTCAGTGAGTTTTTCCTAAAAATTACAGCCTACAATAAAAAAATACATATTTCCATGCAAAAAAATGGTACCGCTTTCAGCACCAAAAATCTGAAATAATCATACCGCCAGGGAGGTTAAACCATTCTTGAGCCATTTTGCAGTGTGCATTATACTGCTGAAAGAGGCCACTGCCATATGAGAATACAGTTTTCATAAAAGAGTGTACTTGGTCAGCAATAACATTTAGGTAGGTGGTATGTGTCAAAGTAACTTCCACATGAATGGCAGGACCCAAGGTTTCATTGTAGAACATTGCCTAAAGTATCACACTGCCACTGCTTCCTGCCTTCTCATACTGCATCCTGGTGCCATCACTTCCCCAGGTAAGTAAGGTATTTTTCAGACAAGGCCACCTTCTTTGATTGCTCTGTGGTCCAGTTCGTATGCTAACGTGCCAATTGTTTGATCATCTGTGGACACGAGTCAGCATGGGTATCCATGATTATGCTGAGGCTATGCAGCCCCATACACAACATACTGTGATGCCCATTATTTTGTACTTTCAATACATCAACTTCTTGGACAACATGTTTACTTGCTGCCTAATATATCTATTTTACTTTCAGATGCCATTGTAACTGTCAGTGCTCTTAGGGCCTGTTCACACGTTACCATGCAAAAAAAATGTATGAAAATGTTCAAAAATGGATGTGCATTGCCTTTCATTGGCATGCTTTTTTTTATGTGTTGACGTGCTTGTTCATTCATGTTAAATTGCTGTGGGTCCTTGTAGGGGACAAAATAAATTAAAGCTTTTTTCTCTCAATAGACTTGCATTATGTTGATGGGCATTTTTGTGCATTGCGTTGCATTAAAATGCTGCATGTATTAATTTTAACGCAACACACCGCACTGCACATAGCACCAGCATTGTTTTCTATGTGTCCTTGCAGTGACCTGCGATCTTTCTGTGCAGTAAACCACAGGTCACTGCAGTATGTGTGAACAGGGCCTTGATCTTATGGTTGATTGGTATACATACACATACGAAGTACAATTTAGACAGCCATTTAATTTACCAGCATGTCTATGGTGTGTGGGAGCCACAGCTCCCAGATAAAGCACAGGACAGGGAGAACATGCAAACTTCAAGCATATTGGATCCTGAACTAGACTCATACCAAGGACTGCAAGGCAGCAGTGCTAACCACTAAGCCACTGTGCTGCTGTAATATTTATTGGCATATTATTTATGTCAGGTACTTGTATAGCGCTGTCAATTTACGCAGCACTTTAAAAATATATTGTACATTCCCATCAGTCCCTAACCCTCAAGGGACGTACAATCTAAGGTCCCTACCTTACACATATTCATGCACATATTAGGGCCAATTTGGACAGGAATAAATTAACCTACCAGTATGTCTTTGGAGGGTGGGAGGAAACCAGAATACCTAGAGGAAACCCACTCCAGGCAGGTGGTGCTGTGTTTGGGATTCGAACCAATGACCCTAGTACTGCCAGGTGGAAGTGCTAACCATTTAGCCACTGTGCTGTCCATATTAAATTATATTAAATGATACTTGAGGATCGGCCAGCGGTTTTCTCTATTTGAAAACAATTGGACGTATGTTGTGTTTTTTCCTGTTAACATTTTTTTTTTTTTTTTGTACAAGTTGACTGTGATTCCATGTCTCTCCCATCTTTCTGTCCACACAGGATAACCCCACAGTAGTTGTGGAAGATTTACGTTTATGCACAGTAAAACACTGTGAAGACATTGAGAGACGCTTCTGCTTTGAGGTTGTTTCGCCCACTAAGTAAGTATCTTTTTTCAGGTAAGCTTTTGTTTTTTTTAAATGGCTGCCTTCAATAGTCTTCAACAGAAAGCAAGAATAATTGTTTTGAGTCAAACTTTTATGAGTGCGATATTTTGATTACTTTTGTGCAGCAAAGATTGTAAAACAGATGTATTCTTTTTTTTTCTTTAATTATTAACTGGTCTTAGGAAGTTTCACCTTGTACAGTATTATTAATACACATTTGAATGAGCTGTATATAAAATGGATACTATGTAATTAAAAAAACCCAGTTGATGCTTTTCCACTCCTGACTTGGATTTTTTTTTGTGTGTATATTTTGCCCTCTTTGAAAGAATTTGTAGCTGCCTGTTTTTATTAATCTTGCACTTTTTTTCTTCCTGCGCAGGAGCTGCATGTTACAGGCTGATTCTGAGAAGCTACGACAAGCTTGGATAAAAGCGGTGCAAACCAGTATAGCTACAGCCTACAGAGAGAAGAGTGATGAAGCAGAGGTTAGCAAACATGAGTTCATTAACTTAACTATTTTTAAGGCCCCTAGGTCTTCATAGCATAACTAAAGTCATGGCCATTTTTTTTTTTCTGGTGTCCCATTTGGGGCATACTCCTCACTGCCTGTCCTTGAGACACAAAAGATTGGAAATATTTCCAAAAGTCAGTGGAAATCACTCCTTTCTTCCCATCCTGGCATCCCTTTGGTGGTCATGTGACCCTGGTTCCGCTGGCTACTGTTATTTAACCTGAACCAAGAGCTTGGTTTGACAGCTCAGTTTTTGTGCTGCGAGCTTGCTCTCAGCATAAAAACATTGGCTGCTAAGCAACACATACGCTATGTGCATTGTGTGGGCTATAAAGCCCACCCTTTTTGCCGCTGTACATATGGGTGGTTGTAAAGGGGTTAAACATTTGTCAGTGGAACAAGTGTCCTCAATGGATGATTTCCCACAGTTCCTCTTGTGGATTGCTCAGACTGTGGTTATGTGGTCCTTAAAAACATGCGGTTGAACTTCATTTTTTTAGTACCCCCTTCAAGTTGCAAAGGCAAAGCACAGGAACTTAATGCATAGTCACCAGCTGCCTAGTTATCCAGCAAGGATATGCTGTAGGTATAAATAATTATTCTTAAACCAGGACAGCTCAGGTGTGACCAAACAGTCTAGATGTTTAACTACTCAGTAGTTTCTCCCCTCTATCTTCTCCCCTCGATCAAGGCAAAAGCCCCGAGCAAAAATAGGAGTATTCTACATGAGTAGACAAAGTGTAGAGCGTTATCCTGCAAAGGTATTGATGTAAACAATTCAATCCAGGAATAGTATGTAAGCAACAGTACTAATATTCAGCTACGTGGCATATAAGCCCCTCTGATATCTAAGCATAAGCTTCTGCTGAAAAAGGAAGCCTGCTCAAAGTATAGAAAAAGTACAGAGGCGGTAATCACATGTTCATAGAATGCTGTATTTTATTCCATGTAGTTTGAGAACATGCAATTTATCAACTGCGATAAAGTTCTTAAATGAATAGTACTCCATTCTTTGTGAAAAGCTCACGAAAAATGAAATAGTAATAAACACAGTGCCCATTGCATAAGCCCCGGTTCACTCTGAATACAACTTTGAAATTGTGTGACTTCTCATGAAGTCAATGGATTTCAAAGTCGCATGTCAGTGGGACTTCATGCACAGATGTCAATGCAAGTCTCCCTAGAAATCAGCAAAAGTAGTCAAGGAACTACTTTTCAAATCGATGCTCCAGTGAAGTCGTAGTTGCACCAATTAGAACGGTTCCATTGCCGATCATAGATTGTGACTTGCCATGTGATTTGAACTGTCAGATTGCATGCCAAGTTGCATTGGTGTGAAAAATGTCTAGATATTTTTTTTGTTCACAAAGCATCTTTGTTAATAATTCTGCTTATCAATATTTTTCTAACAAGTCGCCAGAATAATTTATGCAGTCGTAGATGGTAAACTTGACAGTGTAATTTTACAAACAACTGTAAGCAAAACAGACTCTGTTTGGGTGGAGTGGTCAGTCTTTTACTGCTGTGCTAAGTTCTATCTCCACATCAACGATCTATAGTGACAACACTTTAGGACAAGCAACTGTTGTCTGTTTTCCATATATTCCTACAGAGTTACCAGCTGTGGGCTCAGGTACAGAAAGATTGTATTTTCATCCCTCTACTGAATTGTACATATTGTTAGAGGGGGAAACTATAACAGCTTGGTTGAAGAGCAAGAGAAAAACATGCAGGTGGTCTTTGCTGACCTCTGCTCTTAAAATAATACCTGGCTGTCACTATTTTTTCAGCGCTTTGTCACTGACCTGGAACAAGTATTCAGATATGGACTTTTTTAACTTTTGATCTTCATACTTGTTTAGGGTTAATGACAAAACATGTAATGGGAACAAAGTGTCAGCTTAACAACCAGACAAGTAGCATTTCCAGATACGATTGTGGGTTTAATTTCATATCCAGAGCTCCGGATCTCAAATATATGTACATATTGTAAAGAGATGAACTTTTTATTGTTACAGAAAGCAGACAAGAAACCTTCCATATCTAACACTAGCCCTGTAACTGAGACAAAACTTGTTAAAGGGGAAAGTGCTCTGCAGAAGGTACAGTGTATACCTGGCAATACAAAATGCTGTGACTGTGGCCTACCAGATCCTCGCTGGGCTAGTATTAATCTAGGTATTACCTTATGCATCGAATGTTCAGGAATTCACAGGTAAGCAGACAGAGGATTTTGTTTATATAGTGAGAATTGTATTTCAATGAAGCTTTTGATTTGTATGTTTAAAGGCTGCATATTATTTGAATAATTTGTGCCATCAATAAGTTTTTTTCTTTCATTGATTAACATGCCATCATTAAAATAGTTAAACATGGCAAGACAAAAAATATTGTACAAAGAAGCATTAAAAGAATTCATCCTTCAGGAGTCATGCAGCAAATGGCACCATTCTGTGTCATTTGGTACACTGTATTCTGTTTAGCAAGAATACGTCATGTTCTAGTTTTCTTTATCTCAACTACACAGATTGTAACTATTTAATCTGTCCTGTAACTTTTTTCAGCAACTAGGAAAAGCATAATCCAGAAGGTCATAGTCCAGGACTTCTAGTCTGTAAAACAGCTACATAGCTCAGATTTCTTAAAGTGAACTTTCCTTCAGTTCCTGTTTTTATCATGTGACAGAATGAAGTGGCACTGCAGTTATATGAATCTGTTTTCTGTGAAGGCACATTCACATCACACCACACATTTTTGTGTGTTGAGGCAAACTCAATTAATTGGCGCATTCAAAATGAATGGGCTTCATTGTACCTCATCGCACAAAAATTTTGTTTGCTACATTATTTGCAGCTCAGTGCAGGTGCATTGTGGAGGTAGAGAAAGAAGGTAACACTGCTCCAGGTAAGCTTGCCACTCCCACACTCCACAATCCTTCAACGTGTGTGCTGACCCAGTTCACACACCTGTACTATGGATCAAAGGAAAGTCCGGGAGGCAGCACTAAAGCACATATCTATTTTATTGTATAGAAAAGCAGCTTTAAAACACCATACTGTATGCTAGTGATGGAAAAAAAGGTTCACGCGTATCGTGCCAACCAAACGGCGCCTAATCAAAACTCACTGCATTATGGAGGTGCGTTGGGGTACCTTCAAAATAAATGGCACTGCAATTGCAGTAACTGTTTTACCACAGTGCACATGTGGTTGGATGGCATTATCCAGTGGTAGCCTTGTGCTAGGTAAGTAAACATACTTGTACTGATTGCATAAATGATGCATTGCCTAAATTGATTCCTCTACTGCAAATTTCTACTATTTAGAGAAGTATGTAGACTATCACATGCCTTCTTAAATCCTGGTTTCTCTGGCTTTAAAATCTTTTTAGTCACTGACCTGGGACAAGTACTCATTGAAATCATAACTTCTGTTGTGTGTATTTAAGTTTGGGTCAGTAAATCAGAAAGTCCTGTAGCTTTTGGGTCTGCAGGACAGCCAGGCATTTTGCATCTTAAGATGATCAGCAGCGACAGATCACATTCTGTCGACACAGGTTCGCTTTAGGCTCCATTTACACGATATTTTTAGATCGCGGGTGGAAATGGTGCGATTTGAAAACGCGCCATAAAAGTGTGAAAATGCGTGACTGTGTTTGAGCGTTGTACATTCCGCGTTCTGTTTGTGTGATCGTGGTGTGTTTGCCGCACGGAATTGCGCCGCTATCGTGGCAAAAACGCCCTGCATTTTACATATGCTGTTAAAATGAATGGCACCTGAAATCGCAATTGCGCGGTTTTCACATTTTTACAGCATGTTTTCAAATCGCAGGCAGAATCATAGCCATTATGCCTGCAATTTGAAAAAACCTAGTGTAAATGGAGCCTTAAGACAAAACTCCTTGGTGGCAAACTAGAACTACACATTTCTAAATAATGCAGGGTTTAACATTTTTATTGTGTGGTGCTGTACGTGTCCTTTCTATGTTTTTAGATATACTGTAAATAAACTGCAATAATTGGTGAGAAGTTAACCTGTGTCATTGCAGTTGTGTAGGTAGTGTCTAGACTACGTTTAACCTCAATGTTTTTTTGTATTGAAGGAGTCTTGGAGTTCATTTTTCAAAAGTGAGATCTTTAACTCTGGACACCTGGGAGCCTGAGCTACTAAAGGTATTATACAACATTGCCATAGCTACTAATTATGTGGCTTGTGAGGTGGGAACCTTTTGTGTTGTAGGTGCTGTGTATCCCATACAAACACACTAATGCTGGGTACTTACGATCAAAATATCAGCCAGCTTTGTCAGGACACAATAGCTCAGTGGGGAGATTGCCACACTAACATCACATTCTTACTATGGTGACCTCTCAGTTTTTTTTTTTTTTTACTGTTCAGCCTGCTGGGTTGAGCAAAGGAAGGAAACAAAAAACGTAATGTGTGTACAAGGCTTGGACCTTAGAATAGTGTGTACTAGACTAGGACCCTTAGACTAGGCATCCATTTCCTTCCAGCCCCCCCTTGTTTCTGGTCTCCACTCTCATGTAGTACATGCACATTTGAACTTAAATGCACAGTTGTGCTATACATGTTACTGTGCATGCAGAAGAGAGAGCAGTAAGTTTGCATGTTCTCCCTGTGCCTGCGTGGCTCTCCTCCGGGTGCTCCGGTTTCCGCCCACACTCCAAAGACATGCTGCTAGGTTAATTGGTTTCTATCTAAATAGTCCCTAGTATGAATGTAAGTTAGGGGCCTTAGATTGTACACTCCTTGAGGGTTAGGGACTGATGGGAATGTACAATATATATGTAAAGCGCTGTGTAAATTGACGGCGCTATACAAGTACCTTAAATAAATAAATAATTCTAGTGCCATCCTTTGCAGTTAACTCTAAATTGATGACCTTTTAAAGGTTTTTAAAGCATTGCCTTTGAAAAGTTTTGTTTACTGATTTTTTGTTGCCACTTCCCTGCACACACCATTTTAAGGCTTGACTAATTTTGAATCTATTTACTAGTTCCACCTCATCCTTAGGTTTTACTAAATAATAATGTATTGCATTTGTGTGCACTCATATTAACTTCTTAGTGCCTTTTTTGGGGGAATATGCATTTGATACTGCATTGCACGAATATTTTGTGACATAAAAATTGTAAACATTGCCATTTTATACTTCAGGGTTGCTGTTTTCAGAAAATGTTTGGGGGCTTTAAAAAAAAAAAAAAATAAAAAACAGAAAAAGGGTCCTGGCAACAAAATGGCTAAAGGATCTAAGGTGTGTCCTGGATGGGGTGTTGAAGTGTTTTATGACGCTCCAGCAGACACACCCATAATGCCAAGTAGTCTAATTGCATCTAAATTTCCACCTGGCAAGGTTTTACAATTAGACAACCAAAATATTTTTGCACAGAGTTAATTTATAATTTGTTAGAAAATAAATCTAACATAAACACTCGACTACCTCTGTGCCACCTAAACGGAATATGGAGGGTCCCCTTCTGTGTTTTGTTACCGACGTAAGCATTTTGAAAAAAAAGAAAAAAAATAGGGTGGCACTGTGTGCAATATGATTTTTCCTTCCACACATTTTGGGGTCCTCAGACCTCATTATCGTCTCAGTTAAATTTATACTTGCCTTACCCCCATCTTCACTGTCCCTTTGGGGAATACAGGACAGGGGAAATCTTGTGAGAAGACACTCCAGTCCATTGCAAGAGTGGCTTCTTGTGAGATTTCCTCTGCTCTTTGTTCCCTGCATCTAGCTGGATAGATTGTGTTTTCTCTCTTAACCTCATCCTAACCTAGGCACCATAGGCAGAGGATTGGGATGAGAGAAGTATAAATCCTAACGTTTTTACTTTTCATGTAAATTTTACTCTTGCTCATAGTAGATGCCTTGTGAAGGGGGGGGGGGGGGGCTGCAAGGTCTGCTTTAATGTACACAGGATATGTAGATTTTATGTTTATGCACATATTTTTTAAGCCACAAAACTTTTAAGTGCCAGGTAATGTAACATTTTAGCTGTTATTCGGCACATATAATATGTTAGTAGTCACTCGTATTGTAAGTAAACTTGGTCTACAGGCAAGATGGTAACTCCTATCTTGGGTTTTTTTTCCCCTATATTTGCTTTTATTCTGATGTTTCTCTTGTTCTCTGTGTCATATGAATACTGATCTTTTACATTTAGCATTTATCAAGCTAGAGTTGACAAGGATGTTGCTAAGTTTGCTTGGATAAGAATCAATATCTTGTGTAAGCAAAGAAGTAATAGAGATTAAATGCAGTGAAACTGTATCTGGAAAGTTTGAAAAACTCTGTTGACCTATGGTCCTTAAATGTCTTATAGTTATTTATTTCTGTATTTTTCAAATAGCTGATGTGTGAACTTGGGAATGATGTTATCAATAGCATATATGAAGCACAAGTGGACAAAATAGGTGTCAAAAAGCCTCAGAATGGATGTCAGAGGTATGTGTCTTTGTGTGTTAGTTAATGCCTTTTTGAATATAATGTTTCAGTTCACTTTGCATTGAAAGTAATGCATAAAACTGCTATATATTTAATTTTGAATTAGTCTGGAAAATATGAAATAATGCATATGAATGATACATTTTTTCATGACTTACTACCCAGCAGGCGGCACTTTATTTCACCTTTTTGTGGTTTGTAAATAGTCTGTATTAGGCCAGATTTACACTTTACAGTTTTTGCATGTTTTAGCTACGGTCTTATTAACTTTCTGTCAACTTGCGCATTTTCTGAAAGCACACTAAAAGTCCTACTGCTGCATCGTTCGTCTTTGCATCTTTGACCATCAGTGTGAAGGCAGCCTTAAAGAACAGATTGCTGTAACAAGAGCCCAGCTGAAAGAACTATTTAACTGGAAAAGAAGTGAAATGGTAGACTGAACTTTATTTGCTGCCCCGTTACACTACTCAAAAAAATTAAAGGAACACTTTGAAAACACATCAGATCTCAAAGGGGAAAAACATCATGCTGGATATCTATACTGATGTGGACTGGGCAATGTGTTAGGAGCGTAAGGATGCCCCATCGTTTGGTAGAAATGAAAATTATCAATATAGAGAGGACTGAATTCAAAGACATCCTGAAAATCAAAATGAGAAAATGATGCAGCTGGCTAGTCCACTTTGCTGAAATTTAATTGCAGCAACTCAGAATGGTACTCAATAGTTTGTATGGCCCCCACATGTTTATATGCATGCCTGCCAACTTCGGGGCAAGCTTGTAATGAGGCGACGGATGGTGTCCTAGGGTATTTCCTCCCAGATCTGGACCAGGGCATGGCTGAGCTCCTGGACAGGCTGAGGTGCAACCTGGCAGCATTGGATGGACTGAAACCTGATATTCAAGAGGTGTATTGGATTTAGGTCAGGCAAGCGTGGGAACCATTCGATGGTATCAGTTCCTTCATGTCCTGGGAACTGCCTGCATACTCTCGCCACATGAGGCTGGGCATTGTTGTGTACCAGGAGGAACCCAGGACCCACTGCACCAGTGTAGGGTATGATAATTGGTCCAAGGATTTCATCCCGATACCTAATGGCAGTCAGGGTGCCATTGTCAAGCCTGTAGAGGTCTGTGCATCCCTCCATGGATATGCCTCCCCAGACCATCACTGACCCACCACCAAAACAGTCATGCTGAACAATGTTTCAGGCACATAACGTTCTCCACGGGTAATCCAGACCCTTTCACGTCTGTCACATGTGCTTAGAGTGAACCTGCTCTCATCTGTGAAAAGCACAGGACGCCAGTGGCGGACCTGCCAATTCTGGTGTTCAATGGCAAATGCCAATTTAACTCTATGGTGCTGGGCAGTGAGCACAGGGTCCACTAGAGGACATCAGGCCCTCAGGCCACCCTCATGAAGTCTGTTTTTGATTTGTTTCCTGAAAGAGGTCATTTTGTAGGGCTCTGGCAGTGCTCATCCTGTTCCTCCTTGCTCAAAAAAGCAGATACCGGTCCAGCTGATGTGTTAAGCACCTTCAACGGCCCTGTCCAGCTCTCCTAAAGTAACTGCCTGTCTCCGGCAATCTCCTCTATGCTCTTGAGACTGTGCTGGGAGACACAGCAAACCTTCTGGCAATTGCACATATTGATGTGCCATCCTGGAGGAGTTGGATTGCCTGTTCAACATCTTTAGGATCAAGGTATCTCCTTATTCTACCAGTAGTGACATTGACCCTAGCCAAATGCAAAACTAGTGAAAAATAGTCAGAAAAGATGAGTAGGAAAAAAGAGTCATTGTCCTCCACCTGTAAAACCATTCCTGTTTTGAGGGTCGTCTCCTTGTTGCCCATCTAGTGCACCTGTTGTTAATTTCATTAACACCAAAGCAGCTGAAACTGATTAATAACCCCCTTTGCTACTTAACTGACCAAATAAATATCCCAGGAGTTTAATTGACTTGATGCTATACTCTGATTAACCACTTGCCTACTGGGCACTTATACCCCCTTCCTGCCCAGGCCAATTTTCAGCTTTCAGTGCTGTTGCACTTTGAATGACAATTGCGCGGTCATGCAACACAGTACCCAAACAACATTTTTATCATTTTTTTGAGACAGAGCTTTCTTTTAGTGGTATTTAATCACCACTGGGTTTTTTAATTTTTTGCTAAACAAACTAAAAAAGCCTGAAGATTTTTTGGGGAAAAAAGTCTTTGTTTCTGTTATATAATTTTGGAAATAAGTAATTTTTTCTCCTTCACTGTTGTGCGCTATTGAGGCTGCAGTAATGGGCACTGATAGGCATTGACAGGCATCACTGATGGGCACTGGTAGGTGGCACTGACTGTCACTGATAGTTGGCACTGAAAGGCAGCTCTGATGGGCACTGGTATGGGGCATTGATGGGCACTGACAGGTGGCACTGATGGGGCTACACTGATAATCAGGGCACTGATGGGGCTACACTGATCATCACTGTAGCCCCATCAGTGCCAAGATTATCAGTGTAGCCCCATCAGTGCCATGATTATCAGTGCCATGATGATTAGTGAAAATGTCCCCTCTGAGGAATGCTGCTTACTGGCATTTTCTATTTACATACTATCAGCTGTGATTGGACACAGCTGATCACGACATCGGCTCTTTACTGTGATCGGTGATCTGCTGTGTCCCACGGACACAACCCACCACCGATCACCACATGTGCAGCTGAGTGGGAGGACATCGTATGACGTCCTCCCAGAACGAAAGAACCGTCACCCTCCTGTCATTTCCTTATATGGTGGGCAGGAGGCGGTTAAAAAGTGTTCCTTTAAATTTTTTGAGCAGTGTACTTAAAGACCATGTAAAAAGCCAATTAGTATTTTTTTGCTTCTGGGTTTACTGGTTTTATCCCTTATTGTTTCTTTATCATGTCCTCCACATGTTTTCTTGAGAAGATGGCCATGTGATCTAGGTAATTATAGTCAAATCAGGGGGTATTAGTTAAGTAATATATTTAGCTAATTATTATTGTAGACCCTTTGCCTCATTTTTGGAATAACCTGGTGGGATTGTGGCAAAAAAACTGTTCTCTGACAGCACACATTTACAAAAGCATTATTTTTATGTTGAAAGACAGGAGAAAGAAGCATACATCAAAGCCAAGTATGTGGAAAAGCGGTTTGTGGATCATGGTCGTGAATCAGCATTAGTAGCAAGAAAGAAAAGCCTATCAGAGAGAAGAAATGACAGCCGCCTTAGTTCAACTGACAAAAGTCTAGGAGCAGAAGAAAACTCTAGAACACCCACCAGATTATTAGGTAACTACAAATATCCTATGGTACTTCAGGTACATGTAATTTGATAGTGAACATGAATATTCTGATTATGAATTCTTCGTATGCAAATTTCTTATAGTAAATTTTTACATTTTTGCTTTATAAACGCCTCAGTATTCAGTAAACACACCTATTGCTGCTCAAACAACATGGATCTACCATTTAATCAACCATAGATGGTAGCCTTTTAATTATAGGCAGAGCATTAGTGTCTTTCTTTATATTTTAATAAAAAAGAAAATGTCAGCACAAATGTCAGTGCCATTGACTGGCTGGATTTTTGACACAGGTCGAAGTGCCAGCACAGAGCCTCTGATACCCTTTATTGAACCGGAGAACCCTCAAAACTCAGAATGCTCTGTAATGCAAATGGAAAACCAGTTTCATGTTTTACGGCCCCAGACTATCCCTTAGCACTTCATGCACCTTCCTGTGGTCACATAAGACTAACCTTAACAGTAATGGGTTAACAACAAGAAATATAATTGTAAGTTGATTGTCTGAAGTGACCTATCAGCTAGCCCTGTGTCTTAAATGCCAGGAGCTATGTACAGTTATATGTATAATTTCTACACAGCACAGCATTCACATGATCACTGTAGAGCACAAACTGCTAGAATTAGTTACTATCTGCATGGATTCAGTTAAGCCTTACCGATTCCCACATCTTCTACCACTCCAAACACGTAGCTGTGGAAAGCAGAATATACATCTGTCTTATTTTTAGCCCTAGTCTGCGGATGTACTTTCTTTACTGTAGCTAAACTTATTCAAGGGCTCCTTTTTTCTAGCATTTTCTGTTCTCCAGTGAATTGAGCAAAACAAATGTTACTTTTTTAGTTCAGAGTCCCTTTTTTGCAGGTATAGGACAAATACAAACAGACTGTACATAATCAGTGCAACATTTATGCTGACCTGTATCTGACGACACATCTGTGGGAAAATGTTGGGAAGTAAAATGCAAAGGTGGGAGCTTATAATTGGGAAAAGGGGGTGGGGTTGGACTGCCATAACTGAATAGATTGTGGTCTGCATATATTTGAAGTCGGTGACTTAAAATGTTCTAGAGCCATTGAATCAGCAGGATAATAAAGGAATAATTATTATGAGAGGTAGGCAATGGTAGCCTGCTTACTTTCTCAATACAGTCCTATTTAAAAAAAAAAAAAAAAGAAAAAAAAAAGGGTTTTAAAAAGGTATTCTTTAATCATGTGTTCACAGGTTTATATATACCGTAAGTCAGCTTTCCAAGACAGCATAGTGTTGTGTCCATTGGTCAGAATTTGAGTATGGCCAGAGTGAGTGTTGGTTGCCTGTAGTCACACAGCCTCTAGGTACTGAATAGAATCAAATATAAAGGCCATGGTCAGCCATTAGCTGCAAGCTGCCTATATTAAATAAAAATGATGGGTATTTCACGGTTTAACATGTGATTCTCTGCTGTTTTAATGTATGCTGTACCTACAGTATATACTGACAGTGTTGCTTGCAGTCCTAAATCATACCATTCTTGTGTTTGCTCTTCTTTGTAAGTACTGAAGGATTCTCTTGATGTCAAAATATCACTGTGTAATTGTAGTTACTACATGTCTTCTCGTTGATTGGTTTGTAAGCTGCCTAGAAAACCCTGGTATATTCTTCTAGATTTTATTCTGCTAACATGGTAGATGACTGTCCAGAGCCTGTATCAGTAAATGGATTGTCTTTTTCCTTTTACTGCATGCAGTATTTTGCCAGCTGTCCCAGCCTTATAGGTGATCATTTTTTTGAAATGGTATACAACTGATATGCAATATTTCCAATGTTTGGCAATATTGGTTATGTTGCTGCCTAATAAAAATAAAATAAGCAGTTGCTGTAGTGGTTATACAAGTGATGTGATCCTTTACTCCTAAGATACACTAACAAAATATTAAATGATTATTTATAAGTTTATATCTAACTAGAGTTTTCACTTTAGAGAACCTTGTTTAGGGCACACAAAATGTGGTGTTCACAGCAATCAGAATTTTCAAAGTAAGGGAAGAAGAAAAGATAAATAAGCAAGAGTAAAGATTCTTATACAGATGAACTCTTGGGTGATTATTTTGAGACTTCATTATGTCTAAATTAAAATGGACCTAGCATCAGATATATATTTTTTTATGTTACCAACATGCAGTTCATAACACTTGTAGGTATTTCTTAACTCACAGTGAGAACACAGTACTCCTGACAACGTTTTCATCTCTTCTCCCGTGGAGGCTGATGCCATCTTTTTTTCAGAGATGGCACATTATGTGTAAATCTCTGTTTGTGCAGTCCCAGAATGTGCAGTAATATTCATAGATATTTGTGGAGAGAACTATGGTATGCCACTTTTATCCCCCTCTAGCAGCTATATAAAGGTTATGTAGGGACATGAAGAAAGGGGTAGAGGAGCTGATAGCAAAGACAGGAATTACACTCAGACAAGAGGAGAGGGTATGAAGTGCAGTCAAGGTAGATGGGCTGTGTTCGGGAATTGGCTCTTTTTGGGGAAGTAAAATGTGTGCACCCCCCATCCTCAGCGCTTCTTTGTTGCCACAAAATTACAATGTACTGTCTGGGTGACCACTGAGGATGGTGATTGAGGAAATGCTTCCTCCTGCTTGTAGCAGACTAATTACTAATTGTCTTAGATTTGCACTCACTGGAAGACATTGAGAGACTGTGCCCAGGCCAAGGTAGGAATTACTTTTTATTATATAAAAAAAAAAAAAAAGTTTCTTTAAAAGTAAATTGCTGCTGTATTTTACTGTTTTTTTGTTTTCTAGATCAGTACACATGGAATTATGAATGCTATATGAACCAAAAATGTATCCAAACATATTTTTTGGTCTAGCATTGCTTTATGTAATCATCATGAGCTTTACAAAGAATACACTGACAGGTGCAAACCTGAACTTGTAAACAGGGCGTGGAATACTGAAATGTGAACTTCGTAATTGTATGGGAGTTAATACTCTCTCTTACCAATGTTTTTAATGGATTAAAGCAAATGCAGTCAATATGTGCAAACCTGCTGGGCTAAGTTAATGCTATGAATAACCTAATATGTGCATACCTTTGAAGTTCTTAGTTCTATCAAGATCATTCATATGGCCTAACAGACCCTATCACCAGACTATTAATTTCAACAAAAATCTTCCCATAAGCTTATATGAGCATTCAATGTATTTTATAGACGTCAGACTTCCAAAAGCCCTGTGACTGCTACTGGGAGATGCCATCTTGAGTGTAATATCAACAGGCTCAGCTATCTCACATGTGACGTGACAGTCTATAATATTCCTCTTCTCTCCTCCCCTAAGTGCTTACCAGCCTAGTGCATTATCCCAGGGCAAGTTTAATAAGATACTGATAAAAACAGAAATATGCAGCAAGTACACATTTACTTTTTTCTGTGCTTTAAGTTGGTGACAGGGTTTCTTTAAGCTTTACACATTTGTTATGGAGCAATACATTTCCTTGGTTGTGCATGCCTATCTGAGCATGCAGGCACATTATATATTGACATACTTTCTTGGTGATTACAACTACTATTGCTGTAAAAATATCAAAGACCAAACTAAGACCACCCAACCCTTCCAACTTCACTACTTTTCATGAAATAAAACCAAGTATGCTTAGATCTTGGAATGTTAAAACTGACACTTTCTTTTTCACCTCAGTGCTGTCTGTTTTCATTTGACCCTTTTCCTTCTTTCACTGCCTGCTCTATGCTTTGCTAACCTGCATGTCCCCAGCAGTCGCTGTTACCAGCGATGAAGCCAGACGGGAGTCTCTGTTCTGTCCTGATGAGCTAGACTCGCTCTTCTCCTTCTTTGATACCTCCTCAAAGCTGCGTAGTAGTAAGTAACAAATCTTGTGTGGTGTGGACTGTTTGCTGTGTTAGCTGATCTTGTCCAGACTTTACCACTTGCTTCTTGCTAACAATTCTTAATGCTGGATTTCCTCTTTCACTAATCAGTATGCTGAAATGTATATCCCTTAAAGCAGAGCTCCAGGCAAAAATCCTAATCTCAGGATCTCCATTATGTACCCCAAATATACAGTATGTTGTACCTTATTCTTACAATGGAAAGTATGCTTAATCTGTACATTTCCCTCTCCACCTTCCATAAACTGTGGTAATGGCACTCACTGGTCGGATTTTATTGACTAAATACCTTCCTAGAAATAAAATGGCTGGTGAAATTCTGCTTCCTATATCACCTCTCCTCTCCAATCCTACTGATATGGACAATGCCATAGGTATTGGTAGAATAAAGACCTCATCTCTGTTTTCACATGTCCACAGGTTTATTCTTACTGGTCTGTGCAAAGCTATTGTGCTCTATTTGGCGTACAGTGCTGACTTTTTCCTTCTCCCAGCCTGGGTGCTGCTGTATAGGCGATTGCTTTTAATCAAACATATGTTTTAATGGAATGTATGGTGGATTTGTATTTTCTTTTTCTTTCTTTACTATGGCCAAAACGAAAAAATAAATTATAAGTATTATGTTGATAAGGTAAATACCGTATTTTCCGGCGTATAAGGTGACTGGGTGTATAAGACGACCCCCTAATTTTACAGTTAAAACATGGGTTTTGGCCTATACTTGCTGTATAAGACTATTCCCCCCCCCCCCCCACTTCCGAGGCAACACCAGTTTTTTTTTTTTTTTTTTTTTTTTTTTTTTTTTTTTTTTTTTAATAAATTTTTATTGAAAAAATTTTTTCGAACATAACATACATTGATAAATGGAAGGCCAATCACAACAAGCCTGCTTGGATTGGCTAAGGTTGTAATAGACTGCCTCTCTGACTCTGGCCAATCTGAGCAGGCTTTTTACTAGAATACAGTGTATAAACATACCGTACATAATGTCCCCATTATTACATTTTAGCCCACTGGATATGCTTGTAGATTCGGCTACATACAGAATATAAGATCGTATTTACCTTTTGAAGCCGCTGGATGTGCTCTATAATACTGTGGCTTCGGCTACAGAACGTCCCTGTGCTGACACTGTATGAACTGCGCTAAGCCAAATCACGACAAGTGGTCTATTCATAATTCATATGCATAAAAAGCCTGCTCGGATTTGCTGAGTTAGAGAGGCGGTCTATTCAACCTTTGCCAATGTAGGCTTGCTGTGATTGGCTCAGTGCGGGACAGTGTCAGCACAGAGACGTTCTGAATCCGAAGCTACATAGGGCTTCCAGCGGCACATCCAGCCGAATATAAAGAAGATACATCCAGCGGGGTAAATTATTTTTTGATTAAATAAATTAATTATTGGCAGTCTTTCACTTGGGGATGTTACGGTATATAAAGCATTGCTAGATACAAGGTCTTGTTTTGTGGCACAAAATGTGAACTGTGAAGTTCAGTCAACTGTATCGGGCAACCAGAAAAACCTGGAATTGTTTTCAGTGTTCTGTGGGTTATAGGCCTTTTCCTAGTTAATTCACCTAATAGTTTAATTTTATACACTTCATATACTAAAGGGGAATTTGCAAATATAAGGCAGGTCATAGATGACACAGATTTTCGATTCCCTCATCAACACACTCAACACTGATCGAGTGAAGTAAAACCCAACAGGCTGGTTGTACAGAAGTTGACCGAGAGATCGTCTTCTGTACAACCAGGCTTGCCATCGATGGATCGAAATTTGGCCAGTTTAGCCTATGACCAGCTTAACAATACATTTTGTAAATCCTATGCTACGTATGTGTTTTTTTTTGTTTAACATATGCAGTGTACACACACATATATATATATACACACACACACGCACACACGTGAAAAAAGCATTAGATGACTAGGTAATATTTTTCATGATAATTAGACATGACAAAATCATGCTCAGAGATAACAAAATAAGGGCAGTAAAATAGGACTCCCTTCCACATGGATGTTTAAAGCCTTCTGGATCGTAAAAAAAAAAAATGAAAGTCCTCCCTAAAAAGTGGACAATGCTAACTATTTGGGCCAGAAAAGGCTGTCAATGAAACAAGCATCAATTCACTTCCACACATGCACTTCTTGTGTTATCCCAGTCTTACAAACTGCAGAGGAAACTTGATAGAGAATCTTTTCTTTTTTTTTTTTTTTCAAAAGATTGAATTGCCAGCTGATAATAGAGATTTTCACAAGTAAAAGGAAGTGAGAGAAGAAAAGGTAAAGAAAAATGAAAAAAAAAAAAAATGCAACCTTCAACAAGGATTCACACATTTTTTCAAATATGAATCTGATTAAAAATTGTGTGAAAGTTGCATAAATCCTGGGTGAAAACTTTTTATAAATAAATGTATTTATACTGGATTTACCACTGAAACTATACACAAATGGATAGCTATTTTGTATTCTCCATAGCTGGTGTAGGATCACAGGGGCATGTTTATTAGCTCAATCGTGCTACTAAAATTGATAGCTAATAATTGTTAAAAGAACAAACCATTGCTACAGATAACACAATATGGTTTGAGTTACACATGTAGCATGTAATATCAATTAATAGACACCGATCACATAATTCTTGAAATAAGTGCAATTAATTGCTTGTACATGCTGCTTTGTATTTCATCAAGCCATTTATTAAACACAAAAATAAAACCATATATACAGTTTATTGCAACTTGGCAACATAGATGTGGTGGCTGCATTCTTAGTTTCCTTTTAGGTTTTTTTCATATTTTATTTCCACCTTGTGATCCAGCCAGTAATCTATGATTTTTCAATAATGTGGTACTTACAATGGTCAGGTTTTATTCATTTATGTGAAATCCTTACCCCAAAAGAGAAACAAAACATATGCTGTAATTGCTCAACAAGTGTGAGCTGGAGTTCAGCTTTAATTTGTTAGTCAAGTCCATCTAAATCTGCTAGTGCATCTTGCACTACCCTCTGCTTAGATTGACAATGCTGCTGACCAATGCTGCTCCTCTGTCCATAGTGGAGATGCATGAAATGTTTCACTGGCCACTTCACCATGCTAAAAATAAAAAGGGGAAAAAGCCCTAAAGAAAACCTATGCTGCCACTAAATTTTAAGGATTAGTTAGCAGCAATATAAAAATGTTTTTCCAGTTCAATACCAATTTAATATTTTGCAGTTTACCATTCCTTTGCTGCTTACCTGTCCCACTTCACTTATGCTAATCAAAATTCGGACTGTCCAGCAGCTGTGACCTCCCCTACTTGATATAGAGATCCATTCATTTAATGTCAGAATCCAGGGTCCCAACAGGGCGCTTCCTCCATCCATCTCGTTTATGTGCTTGGAGGAGGAATTTGTCTATTTTTTTTTTTTTTTGTTTAGCCCGTTGGCTAAATGATTAAAAAAACAAAACAACTTACCTTGTATGGCCAACTTTAGAGACCAATTTGGACAGCAGCATTGTTCAGTCTGGGGAGAGGGTCGTGTTAGATGTACTGGCAGATTTAGATGGACTTGACTAACAAATTAAATGTGAACTCCATCTAACACTTTTTAAGCCATTTCAGCAAACTGCTTTTTTAAGGTTCAGTAGAAAAAAAATATACAGACTGATCCTAATGGGAAAAAGTACACAGTTTTATTTATGGTAGGTTAGTGTTCTTGGAGGGGGAAAACTGCTTTTAAAGTTTTTTTTTGTTTGTTTGTTTTTTCTAAAGCTTTGAGACTGTAAAATATATAAGACCCCGCCTTCTGCACAAATTCAAAATATGACATTGAGGCTCTGTTCACACTAGTGTGATTTCAGATGTGACAGAATCACATGACAATGGAAATCACATTGCAGTAGTGTGAAACTAGCCAAACTCTAGAATTCTATTGAATTCCCATACAGCAGATTTGCTCTCCAAATTTTTGCCACCCATTATATATATTTTGTGTGTGTGTGTGTGTTGAACATTTATTATGTGTACTTTGTAGCACAAGTCCCTTAGTACAATCTGTATTTGATTTTACTAGTGAAGAGCAATGACAGCGGAATTCAGCTCAGAGGGTAGCAGGGAACTTCTGGCATCCACTGTATCTTCCAACAGTTTGTATGATGCAGGTTAGTGTCTTTTACTAACAGAATAGGTAGGAAGGGATACAATCCCTTACCTTTTGGTGCCTGCTGAACAAGTATTATGTTTCATATTCCTATATTGGCTGTGTGACTAGAGCGTAACTCATTGGTATGGCTGCCCTAATTCAGGGCTAAGTAAACGCACAGAGCCAGGTAACCAGTGCAAGCAAAACATTCTTAAAGTGCTTGAATCTTTTGATTTTTATTTATTAAACTTTTCTTGGCTGTACATATTGTAACTACCAACTGACTCCTGAATGTTACTTTAATTTCTCTACTTAACTAGAACTATAAACTTTTTTGATCCAAGTGTTTTTAAAATGTATTGATTGCTGAAATCGGAAGGTCACATCATTTTGAATTTTTTTTTTTTTTTTTAATTACCAAAACGGTGGAAGGCAATAGAAAACTTTTTCCTATTCCAGAGCCAGAACAAAAAGATGAAAAACGGGATTCTGCAGTATTTCAAGAGTTGGACACTAAAAAGCTTCCTCCAGGGCCGCAGTTGTACCAGGCCGCCTATGAGCAAAACCTTCCTGCAATGTCTGAGGCTTTAGCTCATGGAGCAGAAGTCAACTGGGTGAACACCAAAGAAAACAACTCTACACCACTAATACGAGCAGTGCATGGGGTATGTGTAACCTAAGTGTGCTTGCATGTGCAATTGTTGATTTATTGCTCTCTGGTAACACGGGGTGGTGGATCTTATAGAAAGTCAGTAACTATTGAACCAACGCATTCCTGCCTCTGGGGAAACTGGTTGAAGTTGCTTTGTCATATATTTACCAATATAAACTATTGGGGCAAGTTAAAAAGCAATGAAACGGACATTCAGCAAACATTCATTGGCGGTGGATTATTTGCTGTCATTTGTAACACACCAACCTGGAAAATTCACTTGCATTTAATGTTTGGTGAATGCTAGATTCCCCTGCAGTATAAATATACCCTTAGTGTTTGTGATTCTTGGTGAAGACAGCTGAGCAGAAAGCTAGAGTCACTGCAAATTAGGTTGTTTTTTTTAAGCTGATGTACAAACAGCATGTTTATTTTTCAGAGATAAATGCATGTTTCTGTAATGCATATATGTATAGCTCATGTCTGCTCATCTGTCTTGGTTTGCAATGAAAATATTTAGCAGAATTACATTTACTTAGTAAAGCCCATACGTAAAAATGTTCCCTGTTCTCTGCTGAGTGTGGGTGAGGTCTTGTGATAACTAGAGCTTAAAAATAAAACCTATTACAATGTCCTGTATTTCTGCATTTCACTAACACAGCACAATACCGCATAATGTTGACAAAAACTTTCCTATAAGAGGTCTTTTTTTTTTTTTTTTTAACCAGCATTTAAAAGGTAAACTTCAGGCAAATATAATTCAGCAGTGTATTAAAATAAACTATAAAATGGACACTTAAAGTGATTCTAAAGGCTTACATTTTCTTAAAAATAACAAACATGTCTATACTTACCTGCTGTGTGCAGTGGTTTTGCGCAGAGCAGCCCGGATTCTCCTCCTCTCAGGTCCCCTGCCAGTGCTCCTGGCCCCTCCCTCTTGTCGGGTGCCCCCACAGCAAGCAGCTTGTTATGGGGTCACCTGAGCCTGCTCACTCCCCAGCTGTTGCTCAGTGAATCCATTCACACATGGAGGGGCGGCTCATCTGCACCCCCTATCTCCTCTCATTGGCTCACTGGCTGTGATTGACAGCACCGAGACTCCAATGCACATAGCTGGATCAAGAGGGGGCTTAGGTGGGTATTGGGGGGGGGGGATGCTGCACAGAGGTTTTCAACCTTCATGCATGGAATGCATGAAGGTAAAAAATCCTGAGCCTTTACTACCACTTTAAATAAGCTAGGGGAAGTACATAAATAGTTCCATGTACAACAGGACTTGCATAATAAGCACAATGAGAGGGGAGGGTCGGCACTGAGGGAGGATCAGATAAGGTTCTGTTGCTTTGCACAATACTGTCAGCCTGTCCCTGTGAACATGCTTACAGGATTGATGAACACAGCCTGGAAGTGAGTTATCAATCGGAAAGTAGGAAGTCACATACCAAGGACATCAGACTATATCCAGCTTTATTAAACCCAGACTTGGCACACTGCAGCCCCACTTAGGACTGCCTCTCTCTGTTTCAGCTAATACAGGCTTGATTATAGAAATCTCTTCTGTCATTAAGCCCATATTTGAAACTTTAGAGAGGGGGCAGTTCTAGGCAGGGCTGCAGTGTGCTATGGCCGGGTTTATTAAAGTTAAATGTGATATTGATGGGCGACTTCCTGCTTTCCTATTGACTTGATAGTGTGGTTGGTTTCCCTTTTGGTTGGCATCCAGAGTGCCAGAGGCAGTGAATTTTCATACATGCTTGGAGTGTGATGATGTCTTTCCATATATCTATAGGGAATAGGTTCTTGACTGAGAAGTGCTGCTTGACTGCATTGGTGGGCAGGCATCTAACTGGCAAGGATCAGTTCATGCCAGCTGCCAATCTTTGGGCACATAATATATTTCAGTGTTGTATTTATCTGTTTGTTTGAAGTTTGGCTTTAAGCTTAACTACAGACAACAACTGCCAGATAGCACAGCCAGGAGGGTGACACCAGTTTCTCTGATAAGGAATACAGTGATGTCTCCCTGCTAATAGGATCATTAAAGAACTATCTTTATGCTTTTTTACAATGTTTGCCCCACTCTGAGACCATGTACATGTAGTACTTTGTCCCATGTAGATAGGTGCTTCTTAAGTCTGCTTATGAAACCATTCTTGCCCCTCTCCTCTCCCTGAATGGCAAGTCTGACAACAGCTTGGAAGGAAATGGATCCATCATAACTACAGCTTCAGCTTGTCTTGGCTCAGAGCACTTTCCTTAGGTATGCTTCTTCCCTCTGCATTTTTGTTGTCACAGGAGAGTGACAAGATAAACTATAGTTTATTATTGATGCTTCCAAGCTGTTTGATTTCCCACTCCTGGAGGGAAGGGAGGCATGTCAGATTTCATGACGAGAGTTTGGAAGCACATAGCTTCATGAGACAAAGTAACACATGCATTTTGTCACACAGGAGAGAGAAAAATGTGAAAAAATGTAGTAATAGTTCTTTAAGAAGAGGTAACACCCTGATAAGTCATTTCAGTGCTTATTCTATACTCTTCTGTCATTTCATGTGCACACAACAGAGCCTGATTAGCTTCTAGTACTGTTGTGCTTGAGGTAACAGGTGACTCACAAATCTAAAAATATAAACAAGTACACAAATGTTTTTTTTTTTGTTTTTTTTTTTTTATATCTGCCTTGAGCTTACAGTGATTTGTAAAGGCTAGGATATATATATATATATATATATAGATATATATATATATATATATATATATATATATATATATATATATATATATAAAATAAACCTGTATACTTACCTTCTCACTGCAATAGTATTGCACAGAGCTGTTCCTATGGTGGCGCACCTGTTGACTCACTGCCAAGGCTAGCTGCTGTGTGCATCCATTGACACATGCAGTGTGGCTAGGCCCTGCCCCCAGCCCACTTCTCACAGGATTTCATTGACATCAGCAGGAGCCAATGGCTCCCATTGCTTTGGCAAATCCTTTGAGAGCAGGGAGAGCTGCTACAGACTGGCACTACTCTGGATCGAGCGGGGGGCTTAGGTAAATATGGGGGGGTGGTGGGTGGTTTGGGTGAAGGCTGATATTCCCACCTAAACATTTTTTACCTTGATGCAAAGAATGCATTAAGGTAAAAAAATGTACAGGCTTTAGAACTACTTGGTTGCTTGTGAAGTGAACCACTTGGCATTGATATACACTCTAATTAGTATTAAAGTACATATTCAATCAGTCTATCTCAGTATCGGTAAAAAATGTCTAGCCTTTAGAACCACTTTGGGTTTCTTTTTTGAATCTGAGTTGCAGTATTCCGAAAAATATATAGCAAACATGGAAAAAGCATTTTAAATAAATTGCCTTTTTTTAACAATTCATAAATAAATTTTATATTTTGAATAATATTCATATTTTACCTTTTTGCAGGGATCTCTAGTAACCTGTGAGTTTTTATTGCAAAATGGGGCCAATGTGAATCATCGTGATGCAAAAGGCAGAGGACCATTACATCATGCAACAGTGCTAGGCCATACAGGGTAAAATAGCAGGAGGTTCAATTTTCTATAGGAAGTTAAAATGGCTATAATGTTTGCATTATGTTGTGCACAAGTCTGCTTTTAATATCATTAACCACTTGCCCTCCAGAGGCTTTACCCCCCTTCCTGACCAGGCTATTTTTTGCGTTATGATGCTGAGTTACTTTTACTGATAATTGTGCAGTTATGCAATGCCACACCCAGATAAAATTTACATCCTTTTTTTTCCCCACGATTTGCGCTTTCTTTTGGTGGTATTTGATCACCTGTGTGTTTTTTTATCTTTTGCGCTATAAGCAAAAAAAGACTGACAATTTTGAGAAAAAAAAACTATATTTTGGACTTTTTACTATTAAACATGTCAAGTAAAAAAATTTAAAAAAAAATCAAATTTCGTCATAAATTTAGGTCAAATTGTATTCTGCTACATGTCTTTGCTAAAAAAAAAAAAATCCCAGTATATGTAAATTAATTGGTTTACATGAAAGTTCTAGTATTTACAAATGGCGGTATAGATACTGGGATTATTTTTTTTTTTCCATACTAGTAATGTCCGCGATCAGCGACTTTTAGCGGGACTGTGGCATGCATTCTGACACTGGGGAAACTGAGTTGGTGTCACTGACATCCCTGTTACACCAATACAGTGATCAGTGCTAACAAAAACAGCACTGACACTGGGCAGGAAGCGGTTAATGAGGGGCGATCAAAGGGTTGACTGTGTAGGGAGTGTTTTGCTAGGGGGCGGGGGTGTGTGCTTCATTGTAAGCACACTGATCAGGATGGCTGTGCTGTGCACAGCCATCCCAAGCAGTGTGCCCGAGCTGACTTGGAAGAAGACTATTTGTAAACAAAACAGTCTTCCTCCCCGTCAGTGATTGTTGGTAATCACCGGGGCCAGCGGGTGATCACCGGCTGGGACTCGGTGATTGACATCCATGGCCGCGAATGGCGGCGCGGCTTGCGTGCGCCACTACCTTGAAATTTTGTGCACCCGTGTCGCTTTGTAGTAGTATATCTGCTATACTGTGGCAGGTAAGCAGTTATCTAACCTGGACCTACACGTGGTATCAGACTAAAGACAACACCTCCCATTTTTCATTACTTTTTAAAAACAAGATTTTCTGTGTTAGAATTAGGCCTTAAAGTGTTACTAAACCCAGGACCCTGCATTCGCTATATCTGGTCTCCCACAGTACACACAACATGGAAGTGCAATTATTTTAGTAAATATAAACTGATAAATACCTTTTCTCATCAGCTTTTAGAGCAGTATTGTGACTTCTATCAGTGTCCAGCCAAGCACTGGTTCAAGCTTGTGTGAGTAGTTTTCATTCTGCACTGCGGGGACGCAGGACCCCTTGCCTCTGTCTAGACCGTGCTGATTGGTCCTGTGCTGATCACATGCACTCTCCCAAAAAAAAACCAAACAAAACCCCTCTCTAGCAATACACACCAAACTGAGCATGTGCAGAGTGACTCCACATGATCTGTCTTATCTGGAGATAAGAGGGGAGCACTGGAAGAAGGGGAAGATCAGAGAAGACAGGATCATAGAGCCTGTTTACACAATGCAGATGATTAACCCCTTAGGTTCCACAGTTAGTATAACAAACATGCTTTATTGCATATACAGACTTTACTGTTGTGGGTGTAGTAACATTTTAAGCAATCTCATTTAAAATGCCACAGAGAGTTCTCTTGCATTTATTCAGACCCAAATGCTTGATCGCTTTCTAATTAACTGTTTGTTCCACTGCAGGCAAGTGTGTTTATTTCTAAAAAGAGGAGCCAACCAGCATGCAACTGATGAAGATGGCAAAGACCCTTTAAGTATTGCTGTCGAGGCCGCCAATGCTGATATAGTGACTCTGTACGTACTAGTAAAAGATTAGCATTTTGGTACTCCTAATGACCTATTACTGCATGTTTCGTTTTTTAATACCAAGTCTGTATGTATTTAAGTTACTCAAGTATGGTCTTCAGAAACTTGATTTTGTTGTGTGGACTGAATGTGTGGTTTGCCCAGGCAGGAAGAAGCAGCGGGTTTACTTAATATGGAACTAAACCCATAGATTTAAAGGTTTCCAAAAACAGTGCTGGGAATACTGTCACATTTGCTTGTGCTTTCAACCTGACTGTTAAACCATCAAATGTATGCAGTCATAGCTGATCACATGTGCAGCATCATGGCAGTTGCAGATCACACAGAGGCTAATGCTAACCATGCACCAGACAAAACAAAAATCATTCAAACTCATTTCTGAATAACGAACACTCGGTCGTGAGAGCAAACAATGGTGCCATCATATAATGACCGAATTTTGAACAAAAAATCTTACAATGGAATCAGTTTTTTGTTGGTTTTGTCATGTATGTGCAGTACAAACAGTTTGAATTTTTTTTTTTTTAACGTACAAGAACCACATTAACCACTGGAAGACCGCAATACATATATAAGCTTGTGGTTTACCGTGGTTATGACTGATTTCTTCAGCCATTCCTCAGCTGGCTGTTTGCTGAAAAACACAATACTGAGGTTATGGCAAACCGGAATCCTAGTGGCTCTTGAGCTGCTGGATCGCTTTCTGTAGTTGTGGGAGGAGACTTCCACCGCTTGCCGGTGTTTCTTGGGCTTACTGTTAACACCAACTGGCCCAAGAAACGATCCAACGGTCTGCTGAAGATAAAGATGATCTTTGATCCCCTCTATAATGGAGGACCAGAGCGATGTCATGATGTCACTTCCGGTCAGGTGTAAAAGTAAGCTATTTTTTTTTCTTTTTAAAACAAAAGTTAAAAAAAAACATTTTTTTGTTGATATTTTGCTTTTTAAGGTAAATAAGTGATTGGGGTCTTTTTGATCCCAAATCTCTTCTTAAAGCGGACCTGTCATGCATATTTCTATTACAAGAGATGTTGACTTTCCTTGTAATAGGAATAAAAGTGATTAAAAAAAATTAAAGGGACAGTATAAAAAAAAATCTAAAGTGCCCTTATCCCATCGCGTTCACGTGCAGAAGCGAACACATACGTAAACCAAGCACGCATATGTAAACTCTGTTCACAGCACACGGGAGGAATCGCTGCGAACATTCGAGTGCAAACAATAATTCTAGCACTAGACCTCCTTTATAATTCTAAACCGCTAACCTGTAAAAATGTTTGAAGCGTTGCCTATGGAGATTAAGTATCATTGCTTGTCGCCATTCCACCAGCGTGCGCAGTTTTAAAGCATGACATGTTGGGTATTTATCTACATATTTACTCTTTCATATTTTACAAAAAAATTGCGATGTACATATTCTGTTTTGTTGGGTTTTTTTTTCTAATTCACTAAAGTGTATTTTTTCCAAAAAAAAATTGCATTTGAAAAACTGCTGAGCAAATACCATGTGACATACAAAAATTGCAACAATTTCATTTAATTCTCTAGGGTCTTTGCTAAAATATATATATAATGTTTAGGGTTATAAATAATTTTGGGCAGCACAGTGGAGAAATGGTTAGCACTTCCGCCTGGCAGTACTAGGGTCGTTGGTTTGAATCCCAACCACGGTACCACCTGCCTGGAGTTTGCATGTTCTCCCTGTGCCTCCGTGGGTTTCCTTCCACACTCCAAAGACATGCTGGTAGGTGAATTTAATCCTGTCTAAATTGTCCTTAGTATGTGTATGTATGAATGTGAGTTAGGGACCTTAGATTGTACGCCCCTTGAGGGTTAGGGAATAATGTGAATGTACAATATGCATGTAAAGCACTGCGTAAATTGATGGCGCTATATACGTACCTGAAATAAATAAATAGAAAAAAAATTTGAAAAGCCAAAAAATCCTGATTTAAACTTGTAAACAAGCATCCCGGAAAATGCTTGGTCTTCAAGTGATCTTTCAATTTATCATTCATTCGGCAGCAGTTTTCCAATCTTTTCTTTCAATTTGTTAGCTCTGAAAAGGCAAAAACAATTTTCTATTTGTGCCCATTGACTGAATGAAAAAAGAACAAACGGTCCAAATGACAGATTTTCAAGTAATGTTTTGTGTAGTGTATGAGCACCATAAGATGGCAGCTTCCTTGGCTGAAAAGGATAGAAAGGTTTAGTACCACTTTAACCACCCCGCTCTCTTACTGCACATACTTGTTTTCCTTTTTGCTCTCCCATCATTTTGTTCAGCCATGAGGAGCAGGGAGGAATAACCGGGAGTTAAAAGGTAGGTTCACTTTTAGAGAAAGCAATCTGTACACCGTACCCTGCACTAGCAGCCATGGAGCCTCTAAGTATCCTAATGCTTGAAATGGTGAGCAGTCATTGGTCAGCATGGCCATGTGACCACATTAACTAATAATGTTTTCTTTTTTCTGGGAATGCAGTTCTGGAAGAAGATAACTAAGACAAGATTCTAATTGATGTGCATGCTCACAAAGCCACGCTGACCAATGACTGCTGAGCGTAATGATGCTCACAAGCTCCAGGGGTGGTACTGCATTGTACTGGTCCTCTTCTCTGAAAGTAAACTTACCCTTTTAAGGATATGAGAAGCATTGATTTGCTTCCTTTACTGCCACTTGACAGTGCTGTTACGATTTCCACACAGGCACATAGCAAGGTCACATGGGACGGCATTCCAGGAGGAAAGGATAAAGAAGAGTGTGGTTTTCAAATACCCAGGAAGCTACATTGGATAACTTGGGTGGTAGAAGATATATATCATAGGAGCGAAGTGTAGTGGGGAATAGAGAGTGGGAAGGGTGTTTTTGTGTTTTGTCTTATTAATGAACTGCTGCATATCTGAGCTCTGTTTTCCTGGAGACAGGCTTCCTTCAAGAGCTTGTTTACCCCAGCATGCCTTGCTGAATGCAGGTTTGCTGGTATCCACTAGGAGACACAGTGCCAATGTGCTAAACCTGGCGTGTCACACTTTTGTTTTTTTTTTTTCACAGCCCTTTATTGAAATGTCACAAGTGAAATTTCAGTACAGTCCTATTCACCGCAGCTGTGTAGCAATGTGGTGGTTTAAGTTGCAGTCTGCTAAAAGAAAAAAAAAAAAAATCACATGACAACATATATTGTGTATGCATCGAAGCTACACTGGTAATAGCTGCCTGCATAGCCCCAGCATATCTGGTGTGAACAATCCCTAGAGGGCCTGACATAGGGTAAATTGATGAATGTAGCCTGCCAGTTTCAGCAATAATTATATAAAAGTTTGAGGGAATATTAGCTGTCATTAATGTGCTTGTTGAGTCTGATTCTACCAGAATTTTCCACAGAATTGTAACAACCTTTGGTAATTCTGGCTAACGCTCAACCTGTTATAGTGTGTGGCGGACTTTTAGTATGAAGATAAAAGCTTATTGTTTGGCCACTTAGGCATTTGGAAGGATACAGTAATACTGTAACTTTAAACAAAACAATTTAATTTCTTCTTTTTTATTATTCCTTTAAGATTGCGTCTGGCACGTATGAATGAAGAGATGCGGGAATCTGAAGGACTTTATGGACAACCAGGTCAATACTCCTCCAACAGCCATACTGAAATGCAATATAGGAAGTGTATGCAGGAATTTATTAGCTTGCAGCTTGGTCATGCTGAGTCTTTGGACAGGAAGACAAACAGCAAATCATCCAATTAGTATGCTGTGTGTAGACATGCACTTTCCTGCTGCACTTTAGAAGAGATTTACTGTTGTATTATTTTTATAATGTGGTTGGTTATTATGTATTTATAATATATATAAACATTTCATGTTGCCTATAGCAACCAATATATTATTTTACTTTTCTAAGCCACACTGTAACTGTGGGACATTGCTATATTTAAAGAGTTCTTCTGTAGGCAGTATATAGGCAGCCCAGTGTCCTTTTTTAAAAATGTATTTGAATATATCAAACAGATGAACGAGCAATACAGTTATATTTGATTGCACAGGCAAACTTCAATGCATCATTTGTGAAAGCACGAACAATCATATGTTTGCGCCTTCTTTTATCACAGATCACTGTAGTGTAAAGTTGGTGGAACTGGTTTTTTTATTGTGCTGACAGCTTTAGAAGATTGAATAATGTGGTCTGTGTGTGTGGATTACTGTAAGAAATTGCACATAGCAATAGATTTTGGATTGGTACATTCTTTACTGTGAATGTTTACATTGTAGCACTGTTGCCAAGGCACAGTTTCAGTGGCATTAATTTTCTGGATGGATTAGTCATGTGATGAAATATTACCATGAAGCAGAAGTACCGGTTTATCATATGTTACCAGTTTGTCTTTCTGTGAGCATATTTAAATCCATATATATAATATGTCTGCACTTTACTATTTGAAAAGTAACCTGTGCCTTCATATGCTGGCTATGTGAAAGCAGATGGCAATGCATTCCCATTGCCAGACAGTTTTATATAGTGTACAAGATTTAAATATTCAAACAGAAGTGTGTGTGTGTGTCTTCATCCCTTAGTACTAAAAATTACTTTGGTGTAGAAGTATCTTTAATTAGGCTTCCAGCTTCAATGTTTTCTGTTTGAAAAAAAAAACCTGTTCCGCGTGTGGCCCCATCCCCAATCCCCCCCAAAAAAATACATCTACACACATTACCTCTGCCGGTTCTCCAAGACTCTTCAGTCTTCCTCCTTAAAAAAAACAAACAAACAAAAAAATCAGGCCATTCAGCTTACTTCCCCCTCACCTTTTGCCATGATCATTTTTTGTAATATACCTGAGACTGAAGACACCCACAAACCCTTGTTTGCCCCCATGATATGACTTTTACCATATGCTACCTAGACTAATGACACTTTACAGGTGACTGACACTCTCCTCCAAACTGATGGCCTCTGTTCCAGCAGCTCCTTAAGCCCGTGTTCACACTATGTGGTGTGGGACACCGCATTTAATTCGCACAGGAATCCCACCGCATTCCATTCCTGTGTGAATTGCATGCAAATGTCTGTGTAGTGCAATTTGAGTATGGCTCAAATTGCATTGCATCCGCACCAAAAAAGGTACAAGACCCTTTCTTAAATCTGCACCTGAACACCCATGCGATGCGATTTCTGGCAATCACATTGCGTTTTGCGATCTGTTTTGGTCTGTCAGTGATACCCTCACCAGTTCGCGTGAACACGATGCGGTTGCAATGCGGTGTGGGAAATGCACAGGATTCACAGCGTTTTCTGCACCAGATTGGTGTGAGCCGAGTCTAAAACATGATACCTGCAGTTAGGGTTCCCTCCTGTAGACTAATGATGACATTGTTGGCATCCTTACTCCTATTACTAATGATGCCTATGGGATCCCCACCCCATCTGATTATAACATGGCTTCACACCAGACTTGATAACACCTGCTGAGCCCCCGGGGTCTGATGACAGCTGCAAAGCATCTTCTATCTTCCTGATGACAACTACAGATCCACCCTGAACCGCAGACACCTATGGCTACCTCCTTTACCAATGATGAAATCTAGACTGGCCCTTTACTGAAAGAGTGTTCGCAGCATTGTCCCCCAGTAGAATATAACAAAAAAAACATACAAAAAAGATTAGCGTGTAAAGGGATTTTTTTTTTATCATAAGGGGATAGCTTTGTCTAGAACAGTGGTGGGCAACCTTTTTTTTCAACTGAGCCAAATCTCGCCAAAACCACAACTGAAATTTATTTTGAGAGCCACATTTTTAAAACTGAAAAACATCCCCCATAAAATTCATCCCCCATATAGTAATTCATCCCCCCCCCATATAGTAATTCAATAGTAATTCATCCCCCCCCCATATAGTAATTATCCCCCATATAGTAATTCATCCCCCCTATAGTAATTCATCCCCCATATAGTAATTCCCCCCTATCCCCCATATTTAAGTCCCCAAGTCCCCCCTGTGTCAATTCACTTACCTTTGCTCCGCGCATTCCTCTCGCCGTGTTCCCGCGCCGTTCCGGTGTAGCATGAAAATCTGTCTCCTATGAGGATCTGTCCCCCTCGACGTATCTGCGCATGTGCCAGTTTCAGGCATTAGCAGCCGATCGGCGATCTCCGGCACATGCGCAGATACGTCGAGGGGGACAGATCCTCATAGGAGACAGATTTTCATGCTACACCGTTCTTCAGGGCGGACTGTGAGAGCAGCCTAGCGGGAGCCTAGCTCCGCGGGCCGGATTAAAAGGTCCGCCGGGCCGTAGTTTGCCCATTGCTGCCCTATTGCCTGTCACCTGGTGGGCAGTGTGCTCCGGAGCCGCAGCCAAGGTGAAAAAGAGGTGCATGCGGCTCTGGAGCCGCGGGTTGCCGACACCCGGTCTAGAACAACAAAGTTCTGATATTTGCTTATTCTTTGCACAGTTGCACATATAGGTAGCAGCATATGCACACCTCATTTTCATTTCTTGAATTTCAAAATTAATTTTGGGGAAACATTTTATTTTAAATTGCTTAGTGAAAGTATCATTGCAGCAGCTAAAATATTCTTTGCACAAGATGTATAATTAGCCTGGTCTTTTAAACAATATGTATTTCAGGATGGTGAAACCTTTAATATACAGTATATTCCACAGTTTGGCTGACCACTTATATGGAACACAAAATATTTTTTCTGTAGCTTCAGCTTCATCCTGCTGAACTTTTATCTTCTCTTCCTGTTAAGCTAGACAAATTGTCATTATATATTTAAATATACGATACTTTGCTTTTTCTCTTTCCTTTCATCTTCCTGGATGCATGGAGTCTTCTAGCAGGTATAGATCTTTGTATGTAAGTTTTATGAGGTCATGCATGCAAAAGGTCTATATGATCAGTTTTGTCATCCAGTCTGACAACTCGTATATCTTTGTTTATAATTTGTATTGGATTTGATTTGTTACAGTTGGAGGATGGAAAGGTTTTGTATTACACAAAAGAAACAGAATCTGTTAAATTCTACATCTCATTTTTACGAAGTGGTGTATATATCAAAGCATTAATTTGATTGGTTGCTATGGTCAGCTCCTCTACTTTCATTCCCTCCTGTTTTTTCATAAATTGGTTCCTTTGGTCTAAATATTATCTTATGGTAGATCAGGCATGCTTGATGCTTCCACCCAGCAACTGCTCAAAAAAAAAATTGTATAATCTAATAGCCATTGGCTTTTGGACTTGACAGGGTCTGTTATTGCTTACGTTTTAAATGGTCACTGGCTGCCTTCGTGTGCATTATGGGGTTCGCAGTTATCGTCTTTGTCACAGATATCGTGTATAAATAAACCAGCAGTGTACTGTAAATAATTTTTGTTATTTCTATTTTTAAAGTATACCAGGATAACTAATGACATGCCTTTTCTCTGCAGGGGATGAAACCTACCAAGATATATTCAGAGATTTCTCCCATATGGCATCTAAAATCCAGAAAAACTGAACCGTTTTCAACATCCAGACTCTCGGAAGTCATGAATCTCATGCTACATGCCTTAATTTTACCTTCGAAAAAGTTATAACTATTCTGGGCAATTGAACTACCTGAGAGCCTAGTCTTGGGCAGTGCAAGCCAGTGTTTAATTTGTCTCATCATTCCATTTGTTAAGGAGTGACTGCTGAGTCTCCTGAGTAAAACACTTTTCTGCTTAATAATGTCACATACAAGACACAGAACAGTGACTGAGCCAAAGCAATAATTTGAAAATAGAGTACTTTGTAGTATTTGTGTACAATGAATGTACAAATTAGTGTTAGCCCTAATGATGGTTCCAGTATTGTAGGGACCATAAATGGTTTAGTTGGCATGCTTTTCCCTTTTGTATATAAAAAAGGACCAATATACTTGGCTGCTTTATGTGTTGTACTCTGTAAGTCATACATACAATTCTTAGTCTGAATTCTGCACCTTCCTTGACAGTGTTGCACTAATTTATAAGACCGATCAATAGATGAAGGTGATGTTAGGATACTGTGGAAAACTAGGCTTAGAACTTAGTAGATTAGTAAAAACCAATACATTGCCTTCCTGTAGGTATACCGTTTTATTTTTATTTTACTGCAGTTTTTGTTGATGTGTATCTGCAGTAAATGTTATCAGAACATGATGTATGACCGACACTGTAATATCATATAGTTTCACATGAGCCCCACTGCCAGTATAAAAGGGCACAATTAATGCTGTGCATTGCATTGTGTAGCAAATGGTAAATTACTGTCAAATTAGGGTTTACTAAACTGAAATGGAAAATGTATGTATTACATATTTTTATGAAAGTCAGGCATTGCCCTTACAGATTCAGTGTATAACTTCTTTAGAATAGTTTAATTGAGCTGCCTATCTTACGGCAACATCTGTATGCTGGGATTGGGCTGAAAGTGTAACCCAAAAAGGCTGCCAACAAGTAGAAGTGCTACACCTAGGGTGTATCTAAACCTATATATTCAGCAACCTTCAGTGCTACTCTTTCTGAATTACAGGTTGTTCTGATCAGAAAAAGCTTAAGAACCTCCTGGTAGTAACTGTTTCCCCTTCCTCTCTTCCCTCCCACGCATACCTGTTGGCCAGTGAAGTAGCCCATCTTGGTGATGGGCCAGTAGCAGTGCATGGGAGGTGGGATATGTGGGCAAAGTCCAAAAATATCAAGAAATGTCAGAGCTTTGCCCGATCAGTGGCATTTGGGCTGAGGAAAGTCACAAGAAGTTGCTCCAGGTATGTGCAGGCACCGCTTACGTTTCCTGCTCTTCATTTCTGTCAGCAACCTGCTTTCTTGTTACAGTAATAGTCACTGTAAACCCACCATAGCCTAAACCATGGCAGGTTTATTTTCAAACTGTTTTTAGATTACTCAGATTGGCTGTATGAGCACAATGTTGTGGATCCTGGGTGTGTTAATGGCTATTTACACTTTAGACCAAGACAGTTAATCCCCTTCCTGTGCTTATAATCCACAATGCTGCACTTAGTCTGCTATACCACTGTATTTTATGGGAGATGCTATATTGACATGGAGGAGACTCAGTATCTTGTTCCAGATGTGATTGTAAAATAAGGCAGGAAGAAGAAATGATTATTCTTCCTCTGAACACAGAAACTCTGTCCAATGGGAAGGAGGAAGTGTAGTTAAATGTTGAGAAACTGATGACGGTGCATTTCAGTAGCCATGTATTTTGTATGTCTTTAATGGCCTTTATAAGAAGAATGTATAGCTCCAAAAAAAACTTTAGTTCTTTTGGCTAGTTTAGTTTCCTCAACATTTAAAAAAAACTTTAATACATTGTATACAAGTTTCTAGCATTAGTATTGCACCTCCCTCTGGCATCTGTCAGAAGTCCTCTAAAAGTGCTCCTGCTCTGTCTTTATTAAACATATCAATGCAGATCTTAGCAGGGTCTATTTTTTTTTTCCTTGGAGCAACCTGTCCTTTTTAATTATCTGACTTTTTTTCTGGAACTTTCGAGACATTACCATTGCACGTTCTGTTCTCAGATTTCTATATAAATATGATGATGGAAGCCAGTGGCATAATCGGTAAGGTGTATATTGGGATAAGGGGTCCACATTGTGCATTAATGTGGAAAATCTCTCTCTTCAGTTTTAAACACTCTTCCAGAATCTGCATTTTTCTACCGTTATTAAAAGAATTCGCAGCAACCACATTATATAATGTGGTAAAGTCTTTATTTTTAACTAAAAAGAAACATTCAGCAAAAATAAAAATGAACAGTATTTTTAGAGGTTACCAGTTATTAAAATAGAGGTTACATTGTGTGTAATGTGATCCAATTTTACACATTTTCTTTTTAAGCTATTGATTTACAGTATAATGGAGATTTTTTTTTTTTTTTGGTATTTTATGATACAAGCACATCTGATTTTAGCATGTAAGTTAACGTTGCTGTATAGATAAATAATACAGTGCATATGCTGACAGTATTAAAAGTTGATAATGTCTTTATTGTATCAGTGAGAACCAAACCGCATATATTTTTATATACATATTTGTCGGCTAAAAATGTGCAGATTAGAATGTACAATTAAATGTATTGGACGTGCACTTAACATACAGGAACTGTTAGCTAACTGTCCTCCAAATAATTTTTGCTGTCAGTTTGATTGTCTACAACAGTATAGATGGCAGTGCCAATGCCATAAAATTCATGTCATGTCTGATCTTGCTTAACACTTGCATTCTTTGTATCACACAATAGCCATCAATTGTGACCAAAATCCTCTATGTAGATGCCTGCTTGTCCTTTCTAATAATGGCCTGCATCTCCATCAACCAAAAAAGGTAGAGTACACAGAAAAAAACAAAGGGAGTTTGTTTATGCTGAAACAGCTATATAGTGGTCCCTTTTTATTCGGAATCGTTTAGTGTATATTAATTATACATCTGCCAGAAACAAAAAAAAAAAAAAGTCCCCCTTTGCTGCCTGTTTTCTGTATTATTGCCTGTCCTTGAAGGTAGAGCTGGAAAGTATTCATAGCAAAAATGAATTACTGTTAGACTAAAACTTACCACCGTAAAATGCTCACATAAATATACTGTAAAGAATAACTGTAGAGCAAACAAAGATCACTGCATGCCATGTCTTCTCAGAGACCATTTATCAGGCTAGGCTCATGCCTATACGTTTTACACTGCGTTTTCAGATTTGCAGACACGCTACAATCCATTTAACATGAGACTTGTTCACATCTGTGCGTTTTTCAACTGGTGCATTTTTTGGAAAGGGTCAGGGAACCTTAGGCGTGAACCTAGCCTCATATAAAATCAGGTAGTCAGGTACACCTATCCCCATTAAAATTCCAGTTAGCGTCTTCTATAGCTACCTGTCCTTGTATATTCTCAGCATGCACACCTGGCAGGAGGCAGCAAAAGTGGGCATGATCACCTTTGTCTTTGCTCACTGATCCTTTATTTTTGAGACTTTATGAGAAGAGTTAAGCTGGCCATAGATGGGCTTTTTTTTTCTTTTTTCCAGCAGGCTGAATGAAAAAAAAATAATCAACAGATTCCTCCATCCACATAAGCGAGGTGAATAGAGGAATCCTCCTCACTGAGACATTCTATTCTGGCACTGGTTCCTCTCCACTGTCAGAGTACACTGATTGAGAAAAATTTTCCAACATTCCCACTCAATAGAAGTTGATTGTTAGATTGACTCCTGCCAAGCAGGAGTGACCACATGGATCGAAATTTGGCCGGTCCATGCTAAACTAGCTGACTTTCAATCCATATATGGCCAACTTTTTCTCGCCTGCGTCTGGAGACTACTGCCTGAGGCCACCTTGCTTTACAAGAGGTCCTACATGGTTTGTTGATTTTAGAATTTAGCAGTGGACGCATGTACCATACAAAGGAAATACGTCTGTAAATTTCAAGCACCTCCATAGTGAAGTCTTTGTGGAACAAAGAGTCAGTTTTGTGTCTCTTTAATGGCAGCACGGGAAAAGATTATTTGAAAGAAAAGACTTTGCATGTCTCAGCTCTGACAAAAATCTACCTCCTAGCAATAACACAAAGCGGTGGGTTGTTTTTACTTTTTTTTTTTTTTCTCTCAAAAAGCAGATTTTCTGTCTCACTGTCATGTACATTATTTGATGAATGTAATTCTTCTTGGTAGGTGGAGCAATATCTTTATCAGTAGTATTTTGTGGTTACTTCTGAATAACGGAATGTGGGTGGGAGTATAAGGGACAGTGTAGCAAAGACAGATGCTTCTAGTTAATGCAGTTTTAATGTATTTTAGGTATAGTGCTTCAATTGGCAAATCACATTTGTGCTACTTACACTGCTTTGCCTGGTTTACATCATACTTGCTGTTCATTAGCTGCACGGTACTATAGCTGTAGCATACTTGGTGCTATCCTCTCTTCTTTGCATTTAGTGCAGCAACTTTAAGTAACGTTTGGATACCTATGATCTACTTTAGTAGAATATCTTTGTAAGGATACTGCTACTGAAAAAGGAAAGGTTTTGGCTATGGATTACCTTTTAGAAAATGACCTTGAAAATCAACATTAAGGCCGGATTTACCCACAAGCCACTATTCATAGTGTTGGCTGTACATCGGAAAGTTAATGTGGTTTTCTGTATCTTGAGATCTCTGTTGGTAAAAACATATCCCCTAAAGTTCTTATATCTGCCACAATAGTAGATTAGCCTTAGACTTGGCCTTTATTACTGTTATTGTGGGGGCTGAAAAGTCATTAAGAAGTTATATTTATGTACCTTTGACATCAGTCAAAAAGTGAAACATCAGTTCTTCCTCCTTCCATGATAAACACTTTTGCCAGAAATCAAAGCTGGGGAAATGTTATCCAATCAGGCTTGATTGCTATAGTCCTCAGGTCACTGCATATTAGAATTAATTCACGAAAAGCTTAAAAATTAGTTTTCTGTATTATACATTTATAATGAGTACCTGTACTACGTT